GTCAGAGCAGGTGTGTGCATGTCATTACAGGTACATACCTGTCAGAGTAGGTGCGTGTATGTCATTACAGGTACATGCCTGTCAGAGCAGGTGCGTGTGTGTCATTAGGTACATACCTGTCAGGACAGGTGCATTTGTGTCATTACAGGTATCTGGATGTCTTCACAGAGAATATAACAGTATGGTGTTTGTTACCTAGCACTGCAAACGTTATCGGTGTAAAAATACGGTATGAAATATGATTACAGAATGTGTTGTTAAAACTTCAATTAAGATGTCATTATGATATGTTTAAACATACTTAGAACCCGCATTGAAATGATAATGACAAAATAACAATGTTTTATAAATTATCTATTTGAATTATGTTTAAGAACACGTTATGGTTTCTTCAATTCCACTTAATGAAAACAGCAATCCGCCGTGTAGAAATGTTTCAGTTACGGCGGTGTATACCCTGATTACAGCACGCAGGGCGTCGTGTCTTCTTTTATTGCTTCGCGTTGAAGCATTTGATTTAATACTAGTCAATTCATTTAGATATTTATTCAACATTTCGACAATTACATGGTTTTCCTGACGGCAATATTTTAATTAAACATGCTCCACGGTAATGGGTAGGAAGGGAAATCGAAAGGTGCCGGGCCAATGAGCGCGTCTGTGATGATAGGATAGCACTAACAAGCCAGTGCATTGGTGTTTGCCCTCCCATTGATCCAGCTGTAACCATCGTTTACACAGGGACACTCTCAGGGAACAAGGAGGGGGAGGTCGGTAGATCGATAGCGTTCAGGAAGTTGATGCGTGTCAAACTTAACCAGGTGTGTACAGCTGTTGCCATATACAGGTATCGTTTTTAACAGAGCTAGTGGTTAGGGTATGTCTGTCTCTATGTATGAGTTGTTGAGGTCTAAGCTAAAAGTTCCAGTGATCATCTGTTTGATGATGTGCGTCCTTTCTCCTTCACATTTCCTAGTTGACTACCTGCTGTTATAGGGTCGCTTGTTCTCTCACTACAACCACGTGGTCCACGCTTTCATTCAAGTATTGCCAGTGAAACGAAGTCTGTTACTTGTACATGTATGCAACCTGTATATGCGGTTAGACTATCATAGACGGTTAAGTTATTGCATTGTTGGGGCCTTTTTTAAATGCTTCTGGTTCAGAATTACTACATGTACCTTCTCACATCTTCTAGAAGGGAAATACTGTTTACTAGTTGCTGCCTTTTAAAGTATTGTTGGGGAATACTGTATACAATCGCTACTTTCTCTCAAGTTTTGGTAAGGCACACTGTGTATATCATATATATAACTTTCTCACATGTTTGAAATACTGTACAATAAGTGGTACATGTCTCCATATAATAGTTATTGTTTTCTCAAATGATTGGGTAGGGAACAGTGTATAAAAGTTGTTAATTTCTAACAAATTCTGCTTGGACATACAACACAATAGCCGTTTGGCATTCATATATGTATGCGTTGGTACGGAAAGCTACCCACTATTTACCGCCTGTCTCCTGGGCGACCCACTTAGGTCAGTTTAGTCAGAGGCACGAGCCTCTTTATAAATACGATGTTGATCGCTTATGATGTAACTTAGACGGACAAGACCCCGCCCAGACTCCCGTTCCCCGGCGACACTCCCGCCGCAAGTCCCACGTGCGTCTGTCATCGATCGTTCTCGCACCGTTCTTACAGTAGGTATGGTTAGATATGACCAAAACCCCATCTTTTCCACAGTCTGATGGCTAATTTGACTACGAAACGTTATATAACCAGGCATCTACCACATCAAAATAGTGACGTGTTGGATCCGTCAAGTGTTCTTCATGAAATACATCCTTGATATGTTTTTGAAATGCTTTTATTGAAGGTTTCAGTAGGTAACAGCTGCTGCCCAGATTTTCTATTTTCTTTTAGGAAAGCTAGCTGTTACATTGTGTATTTATTTTAGAAAAGCTGGAGAAAAGGAAGTGGTGATGCTGACATTTCTATTTTTCCCTTTTACCCTTTAGCACTACGTCAGCAGCGTGCTTAAGTAGACGATAAAAGATTATCTGGACGTTAATCATTGATGTCAGAGACTGTAGGACAAGGTAGTCCGCGGTGTAAGAGATTGTAGAATGATGTCAGGGAGGTATTTTGCGGTGTAAGAGACCTTAGGACAAGGTCTGAGCGGTAGTTTGCGATGTAAGTGACCGTAGGACAAGGTCTGGGCGATAATCGGCGGTGTTATTGAATGAAGAACATGGTCGAGGTAGAATTCTGTGGTGAATGACTGTAGGACACGGACTGGGAGGTAGACGGTTGTGTATGAGACTGTAGTTCACGTACTGGGAGGTAAACGGTTGTGTATGAGGCTGGAGGACTCGTACTGGGAGGTAGAGGTTGTGGATGAGAATGTAGGACAAGTCCTGGGAGGTAGACGGGTGTGTATGAGATTGTAGGACACGATCTGGGAGGTAGTCGGTTGTGTGTGAGACTGTAGGACACCTACTGGGAGGTAGCCGTTTGTGTATGAGCCTGTAAGACACGTACTGGGAGGCAGACGGTTGTGTATGCGACTGTAGGCCGCGGACTGTGACGGAGACGGTTGTGTATGATACTGTAGGACACGTAATGGGAGGTAGACGGTTATGTATGAGACTGTAGTTCACGTACTGGGAGGTGGACGGTTGTGTATGACACTGTAGGACACGTAATGGGAGGTAGACGGTTTTTTATGAGACTGTAGGAAACGTACTGGGAGGTAAACGGTTGTGTATGAGGATTTAGCACATGTACTGAGAGGTAGCCGGTTGTGTAGGAGACTGTAGGACACTTACTGGGAGGTAGACGATTGTGCATGAGACTGTAGGACTCGTACTGGGAGGGAGCCGGTTGTGTATGAGATTGTAGGACACGTACTGGGAGGTAGCCGGTTGTGTATGAGACTGTTAACCATGATCTAGGAGGTAGTCGGTTGTGTATGAGACTGTAGGACACGTACTGGGAGGTAGACGGTTGTGTATGAGACTGTAGGACACGTACTGGGAGGTAGTCGGTTATGTATGAGACTGTAGGACACGGTCTGGGAGGTAGTCGGTTATGTACGAGATTGTAGGACACGATCTGGGAGGTAGTCGGTTATGTTTGAGACTGTAGTACACGGTCTGGGAGGTAGTCGGTTATGTTTGAGACTGTAGGACACGATCTGGGAGGTAGTCGGTTATGTATGAGATTGTAGGACACGATCTGGGAGGTAGTCGGTTATGTTTGAGATTGTAGGACACGGTCTGGGAGGTAGTCGGTTATGTTTGAGATTGTAGGACACGGTCTGGGAGGTAGTCGGTACTTTGAGTGACTCTAAGGCACAATCTTGGTGGTAGACAGTTGGCGTCCGCCTAAGATCAATACCACAACACATCTAGTTTAAAACTGAGAACAATTAATGATACATGTATGTGTCTCGTCATCAAAGTACATGGAGGTTCTCTCATCTGCTGTTAGAATTGATCTCAGCACGCTTTGAATTTCAGGATACTCATATTGTTGTTTTCATTTACAACGGATGACCGAGTGACTTGGTTGGTGTATTAGATTTTATCAGCACGGCCATAAAAGTTTAATGTTAGATAATATAGGATAGACGGGTGCTGTGGTATACATGTCTTAAACACTTTGATATACGGGTGCTGTGGTATACATGTCTTAAACACTGGGATAGACGGGTGCTGTGGTATACATGTCTTAAACACTAGGATAGACGGGTGCTGTTGTATGCATGGCTTAAACACTAGGATATACGGGTGCTGTGGTATACATGTCTTAAACACCAGGATAGACGGGTGTTGTGGTATTGATGTCTTAAACACCAGGATTGACGGGTGCTTTGGTATACATGTCTTAAACACTAAGATTGGCGGGTGCTGTGATATACATGCCTTAAACACTAGGATAGACGGGTGCTGTTGTATGCATGGCTTAAACACTACGATAGACGGGTGCTGTGGTATACATGTCTTAAACACTATGACTGTCAAGTTCTGTGGTATACATGTCTTAAACACCAGGATAGACGGATGCTGTGGTATTGATGTCTTAAACACCAGGATTGACGGGTGCTGTGGTATACATGCCTCAAACACTAGGATAGACGGGTGCTGTGGTATACATGCCTTAAACACTAGGATAGAAGGGTGCTGTGGTATCGATGTCTTAAACACTAGGATAGACGGGTGCTGTGGTATACATGCCTTAAACACTAGGATAGACGGGTGCTGTGGTATCGATGTCTTAAACACTAGGATAGACGGGTGATGTGGTATACATGTCTTTAACACTCTGATAGACAAGTGCTGTGGTATTGATGTCTGAAACACCAGGAGTGACGGGTGCTGTGGTATACATGTTTTAAACACTAGGATAGACGGGTGATGCAGTATAGATATATCTACCATTGGGATAGACAAGTGCTGTTGTATACATGTAACTTACACTTAGATATATAGGTGCTGTAGTATACCATACACTAGGATAGATAGATACTTAGGTATTAAATCCTCAGGCTGGACGAATGGTGCTGTACAGTGTAAACCTACTGTTGGTACTGATAAGTTTTGTACACACCCATGACAGATGGATGCTCAGTCATATTACACTGGGATAGACGGGTGCCGAGATATTTATCTGCTGTTGGATAGACGGGTGCTGAGGTGTACGATAGATAGGTACTTGAAGACCTAACCAGTACACGTATATGTAGCATTGCAGTAATTAAGGACAAAACTCATGCTCTAAGTACCCTATGAACATGCCGCGCACCTGTTTTGACTAAACACTAAATCATCGTCATAAATCACACATTACAAAGCTAGCTGAACGATATCTACCTATATCCCGTAAAACATATCTTACGTTTTTCAGTTAAGTAATTGAATAACAATCTACACTAACTACTCTAGTACCTTGAAGTGATATATCGGCTTTAAACATGATGTTTTTATCTTTTGCCAGGAATGTCCATATTTATGGCTTTCTTCGTCTTACTGTTGTTGTTTGAAGGCAATCTCCCTCCTGCAGCTAACGCGGTTCCCGTCCTAGGTAAGCGACACTGATGGCCTACTCAACTTAATACGTTTTACTTTTGTCTCTTACCTCCAGGAATGAGTATATTCATGGCATACTTCGTCTTGTTGTTGTTGTTTGAAGCAAATCTTCCACCGGCCGCGTCCTCGGTACCCATTTTAGGTAAGGTTGGTTATTGTGCCACTCTCTGGCTGTCGTGACCGAGTGTGTTTTTTCTTCATACTGTAGTTGGCTGGCCGTCATTTGATCTTTCTTTTCCCTGTTTTGTGTGGTACCTTAGAACAGAGTAGAATTTTTGAGTTGCAGTTTTGATTGATACCGCCATCCACTTAAGGATCCCGTGAGGACTCTACTCCGTAAATCTCTGGTCTCCACTTGTGATGACGAGAGCTGTTTTGAGAACCCTCGCTCATAGCTTCGCATTCTTCTTTTATATTCCAATATAGCTGTTTCCCTTCTGACAATTTGGCTGCATTTGGAACTTGTAGCTTACAAAGCAAAGTAGATTACCAGTAGCAAATATATAAGAGAATGCAACCGCATTGTACATCGTATGTTTATCTATTCGATTTTTGCAACTCGCAACCCTTTTTTATGATATTTCGAAATATTGTTTTTGGAATGAAGATATCATCATTCGATGTATCCGTTGGTTGTGTATAATTTCATTTATGAAATATTATTTTCTTAAAACAAGCCTATCATAGACTACAGCAATAACAACGATGCGTTTGAAAATTATACGAACGATTTACGTCCAGAAGCCTATTATGTGGTGAACATCGGGCGCTGTAGGCATGTAGTACCCCCAATTTAAACTTATCACATTGCAGCTGCAAAAAATTGATTTATTCTATTTCAAAAGATACATCCCAATTCTCAAAACAAGTTTGCTTAACTGTCAATTCCAATACAGACCGAAACATTGAGCATGTGGTTTTCCAGAGATCTAGTCGGCTTTGCCAAAGGCGGTTGCACCTGAAATCAATTAATCTAGTTACATATCTCACATTAATTCTACCAATCCTGCACATGTATAGTTCTGCAGTAACATTCTTCACGAACGTAGTTGTTTAAACTACCCAGTTAATGCACACGTGCCTAATTTTTTTCGTTATAACGAATGTCCCTTCGTTGTCCGTCAGTGGAAAACCAACCGTTGAAAACGCGTATCTGATGCGCACTGCATACGTTGAAGTACAAGCTACATGGCAGGATAATTCTATATGTGGACAAGGGGTCTGTGAACTGAGTATAGCTAACCAGCATGTTTCCTTGACACCTATGTTGTATCACACGTGACTATACAGCAGCGTTGCTCAGACTAGCACTTCTTTGCGACAGAATTATCCCCATGGAGATAGTATGCAATCCGCATCAACACTCGTTCACGATGGGACTCTCTCCCAGGGCTAACGGGTCGACTTCTTTGACACTTTGTGTCCTTGCTGTACTTCAGTACCATCTTTTTGTACGGGACCAGGTGAATTTGTAGACTAGTTTTCTTTCTAGACTCTTTTACACGACACTGAATGTGTAAGTAGTTTTGTAGCGATGCGACACGCCTTTCCCCTGTAAAATGCGAGGTACAATGTCAGCGAGTAAAACCATCAAGTAGTGTTCACAATCTTATCAGATGGTACTCTTGTTTTCTTTCAATACATTCTTCATGGTTCTGTGATATGGTTTACGGGGTGATCAGCTGCTATACACAGTAAAGATAAGTGCTACCTCATAAAACAATAACAGGATAGATTTTTTTTATAAACCACGATACTTAACATAGAACGCATACAAAGTGTCCTCCTAAACATGGATTTGTTCGTGTAGATTTATTTCACAATTTGGACTCGGTGCCGATCAGGTTATTGGTCAGCCCCCATGTCCGCAGTCCTAGACATGTGTCGATTAAACCGCTACCGTATCTGGTCTTAGCTATTTTCAGGTATGCTATAAAACTGGAATCCTTCGAGACGGTAAGGTCAACCCGTCAATGGCAATAGGTTGCTTTGGACCGAGAAAGAAAACACAGAAACCATTGATCGTGAGGCTCCCAACGTCTGGTCGAGCTCCCATCTAAACACACGTAGAATATTTCAATGACAATCTATATCCAAGTCTCTCCCCAAGGGCACCAGTACGGAGCTCACATTTACTGTTAGCAATGTCTCTTAACTCCGACGATTAGGTTAGGAGAGATACAGTTTCTTCAGTACCAGGAAGGTGTCATACACACACGTATGTATCCATGTTTATAGACGTATATCTGACATCAACTAATTCCGAATATGTAAATAAATAAGATGTTAGAAATTAATAACTTTATTGCCACTTTAAAAAATCCAAAATTGTCATTTTGTCATCCACTTTTGCTGTTGGATGTACAGAATACTGTCCGCTAGTATTTATTAACTCACAACATGTATATCGCCGTAGAATTTTATTAGTTCCATTTGCCTTCTATTCGTTTTATATGCATTTGAAATACTAAATCATCATTTTACCTTACATTTTGCTGCTGTTTCCATAGCTTTGCACATTAACACTTTAACATATATTATGCATCTTTTTCGATAATTATTGTAATTAGCATGATCTGTATCACTAGCTCCAATGATATACGACTTAGGCGTACTTTTATAATAATGTACCACCGAGTATTTGTTATGTGTCATTAGTTTTCGAGCTTTGTTCCTCAGGTATCCAGCGTAGGGTAATTAACCAATGTTCATTGATCTCGTTCGACAGTAGAAACATATGTGACTGTTAAATGTTCTGGATATTCATGTGTATAGATAATATTGTATGTCATAATAACTATGTATACCAACATGTTGACGTTTTATTATTTTAACATGTCGATTACAGATTATCAGTAGTATTAGACTTAGTAGCATATATAGAGCTGATTAAAGACGAATTCTTTGTCAGCACGATCTCTGTTTTCATTCTTTCTAATTTGTAACAAATATAGGTAAAACGTTTTAATAAATACTGACTACAAAATATAGTATAGAACGGGCGCCGGATCAGGCATTACTCAGACTTACTATTGTAATTCACGTGCTGGCATGGCCTTAGACACACCTTCTCCAACGTGACGATAGAGCGGTAGACGTAGGTAGTACAGCCTGTATACCATAGAGCTGCTGTGGAGCGTTCCGGTAAGCAAGCTCAATTGGTTGGTCGCTGTGTACGTCAGTGTATCGTGATAACAAGGGTTGTTAGAAAACAGTGAAGCATGTCCAGCCTTGATTAGCAATGCGTATCGCTTAACATAGCTGATTCAAACCAAATACTGTACAATAATCTGTGAAATCGACCTTTCCTGATACAAAATGCTTATTTTGTGGCGATTAGACGCTCAACTGCATCAGCCACCAAAGTTTCAAGGGAGCTAACTCGAGTAAGAGACGATTGTGAAGTACTACATCCTTCCTGTCGCGAATAGACGTCTAACTAGTCCATATAACAACAGCATCGTCGTTCTGTCTGTTTTATAATCAATTTATGGAATATGATTTTGACCAAATTTTTCCATCTTACCAATGAACCTTCGAATCTATAATGTCGGTTCTTAAGGATCTGCTCTTCTGAGGTTTAAATCACGTTCAAAATTTGTTTTGATCTAGTGAAACAGGATTATAATAGATTTAACAAATTGTGTTGGATTTTAAAAGCAAACATGCATCAGAACAATATGTCAAAAAACATTTGAAAATGTAAATTACTTACACTCTAAGCAAGGTCAAACATGTCACCTATTTTGACACTTGATTCATCACAAAAATTATTATCGCGTTGCCATTTGCAACTGTATCCAAAATAGTAGTTACGCGATTTTAATACTCACTATACAATTGTACCATCATATCGGCTGGAGCCCAATTGTCTTTTGAGCACGCAAAAGTTAACAGTGAACCGGTCAATCTTTGAGTGTTTTAAGATGAATAAAACAATTTCTTTCAACCCTGATAATATTAATTAATTAAGTTTTTAATCAGCAAAAAAACTATTTCTTATTTTCCATATTCTCCACTTTGAAATAAGGTCTGACTCAAAATAGCAACTCAGCCAAAAAAATTACTTTTCACAAGAGCAGATCCTTAACGTAAAATGTGAGATCAGCAAATACAAATAATTGCGATTGATCCAACTATTATATAGCAAATCCTTCCAACCATTACGGGTTTCGGTCAAAATTTTAAAGTAAAATACGAAACCTCTCGACCAACAGGGTTGCCTACTAAAAAAAATATCCCATCAAAAATGAAGCTTATCTTTATTATTACAGTGACGCTTCCCCACTAGAACTATGAAAAGGTTTTCGAACAAAAAGTTATCCAACCAAAATTATGAAGTGTCATAATAATTATCAAGGTGCTGAGGTTTAATCAATGGATTTGATGTTAATGGATCGTTTTTATTGTTGTTGAAATAAAAAAAGCCATACCTTAATGGTTTGTCTGACCTAACTAGATACCCCCAACATCTTAGATGTGTTTGGTTTCCCAACCAATAGGGGTTTCTGGCTATAATAATTTTCTTTGAATAGTAAAATAGTAAAATTACGAATTTTCTTATCCTAATGGTGAGGTTTCTGAGCCCAGACATTCAGGTTATCTGGTGAAACATAAATGGTATGGTACCTGGGCACCCATGGTGTGCTCGGTGTCACATTAATGTTACCTGGCTGGGTGTGCTCGGTGTCACATTAATGCTAGCAGGCTGACTTTCTGGGTACCCTTGGTGTGCCCGGTCTCACATTAATGCTAGCAGGCTGACTTTCTGGGTACCCTTGGTGTGCCCGATGTCACATTAATATCACAAGATTGGCTCCTTAGGTACCTATGTCGTGCCCGACGTCACATTAGTTTTACCAGACTGGCTCCGTAGGCACCCATGATGTGTCCGGTGTCACATGAATGTTACCAGGATGGCTCCATGGGCAACCATTGTGTGCCCGTTGTCATAGTAATGCTTACAGCCTGGCTCCCTTGGCACCCATGGTGTGC